GTCTGTAATGGTGGGATCAAAAAAAGATAATCTCACCAACTCTGCATTCAAATACCTTCTTGGATTTGTTGGTTCATTTTTGCAAGTTCCTTTTGTGCCTTGATTTCTTCAGCTCGAGACAACTTGAGATCCACTCCAGTCATGGAACCTGGGCGGCCCTTCTGCCTCTGTTTCACGAGAAACGCCTTATCTTCTTCCGATTTCATCAGAGCCAAGGCATCTTGCTGAGCAATATTAAAGAGATCATCCAACTTTTCAACTAACTGTTTAAATTTGTTCTTAGCCGTTTCCGATGTTTTCTTCGAAGACCGGATCCGGTCTTTTTGAAGAGTTCTCCACTCGGCGTAAAGTTTTTTCAGCTTAGTAATAATTACTAAGCTAAAAAAATTATTGCATCTTGCTCATGTTTAGTCGGAATTCGAGCTTTCTCCCAAAAAATGAACACTTCTCGTATGGCAAGTTTTGCTAATTCTCTTACAGTTAATTTCACAGCACGTAAATTATAAAATAAAACACACAAAACTTGACGATTTGAGGGTAGTTCATAACCGGTAATTTGGTGAATGGGATAGCCCACAAGAAATATTTTATACTTGGTTCGGCTTTGTACACCTGATGTGGATGCCATTTTATCCGTAAAACAAAGATTAATAATACTTTTCTTCAAGATCCTGGTATCTACAGCCGGCAACGCATAAACTACGGCATACCACTCTAATTCATACCTAATAAAAGGATTAATGCAAATAATTGTATAAATTAAATATAATTACCTACCTGCTTTTTGTAAAAACTTAACTTTTACCTTTATTTAGTAAAATACACACAGGTAAAAATAAATAATAATTTTTGTAGCAAATAGTAAAAATAATTTTAAAGAGCCTTTTATTATATGGGGATTACCTGACTATTAGTCTGACTATATTTTAACAAAAGGCTCTTTTTGTTTAAAAATTAAGGTCCAAAATAGTTTTTAATAAAAAATGTTAATTCCGAGACACATTATGTAAAAACCCGCAAAACTCTTAGAATACACCCAAACTGGCTCCTAATGCTGCCAGGGCACGTTTTTGGGGTCAAAGGCTGTTGTAACTCTGTTGGACTTAAAATAACAACAATTATGTATAGAATATAAATTTTGAAGAACAACATTAGCTTTCTTTTGAGATATTAAGCGTGTTTTTATTATTTACCTTTCTGGAGTTATGGCTCCATGTCAGCTTTTTGACCAAAAATTTGGATTTTTTAAAACTTTGAGCGACGAGCGGCACGGGTTAACGTCGTTTAATCGAGCTCAAATTTCGTCTATCTCAATATCTGGAAAGGGGAATCGTTTTGTGGGGTCCAGACGAACAAAATTCCGACATCGATTTTTTGCGGTCACCCTAGTGTACACCATATTTAAACAATGTGTACACCATTTTTAAACAATTAAGCAAGGTAAGAATAGTAACTTAACTGATTTACAAAGCATCGAACGTTCAAACATTAGCGTTTTTAGGTAAAAACTTTATTATCAACAATAAGCAAAAAACGATTGTCGACAAGTAATTTATTTTAAATGGTTTAGTTCTTTAAACAAAAACAGTACACAATTTATTAGAATGTAAAGGGTGGGCCATCTATAAGTTGAATTTTAAACTACGTGCTATTAATGAAGCTTTCAACTTAAGCGCCATGAATTGCTGACAGAGGTTTAGTTTTAACCTTCCGATTACAAAATATGCACCGAATAAATTTGGATCAACGTTTCGAAATACTCAAAACTTACTTTGAATGTGACTGTGATCGCAGAGACGGCAAGAAAATTGCTTTTGGAAGAAATGAGGCGCCGTCAAACCAAAGTATTACAAGTTTTATCAAAAAAATTGCGCAGAAATGGAATGCTGGTGAACATAAAACATGTTTCGCATGCTCGTCCTAGACGTACACCTGAAGCAATCGCTGCTGTGGCCGAAAATGTACGCATGAACGCGTCAACATCAACTCGGCGCAGATGTCAACAACTCGGCCTTTCCCGTACCACTCTGAGGATGATTCTGCACAAAGACCTCGGTATGTTTGCGTACAAAGTCCAGCTTGTTCAGGAGTTAAAGCAAGTTGACCATCCACAACGTTTTCGCTTTGCTGAGTGGGCTTTAAACCAGTTGAACGATGACCCTAATTTTGCAAGAAAAATCATCTTTTCGGATGAGGCGCATTTTTAGGATTTGGGCCACGGAAAATCCACACGTCGCCGTAACAAAGCCTATTCACCATTTAAAACAAAACATTCAAGCTCAAATTGCCTAAATAGAGCAGCAAACTTTTGACAAAGTGCTCGAAAATTGGTGTTTCAGGATGGGCTACTGCCGAGCCAGCTGAGGTGGCCACTTAAATAAAATCATTTTCCATACTTAATCGGAAGAAACATTGTATCAAATAAAGCAAAATTCGTTGAAAAAAATCCAGTTTTTCTTGTTCTCATTGCTATTTTATAATTCAACATAAACATGGCCCACCCTTTAATTGATAGGCATTGGTTTTTTCTAAATCTAACCGAATTTTTTCATTTTTAGATTTTCATCGATAAGATTTGTTTAGTTCCGAAATTTATTAAACATAGACAGTTGAGATTCAACTCACCAAAGCCGTTTTGACCAAATTTGCAGGATTGTTGCGGTAATAACAATAAAAATTGTTTTTTTTCTTTACAACCAATCGGTAAATTACAAAACTACACAGTTGTATTGCAAATTAAAAGAGCTTTACTTGTGTGTGTCCGCGTTTTTTTCAAATTTTCTCAAAAATAAACAGACTGATTTTAAATAAAAAATTGATGTAAGGGATTTTAAAGACCTTTAAAATAATGTATTGGTCGATACCCCTTCCCTATTCAAATTCTTAAGAGGGTAGCTCCTGGGCGCAAGGGGTAGGGGTGAGAAACCAAATTTTGCCATGAAAAGTTGTCCTTCTCGATATGAAACTTGTCTCGGCGTTTTTTCAAAAAAATTTTAGGTTCCGAGAAATTTAGGGTGGTTAGTTTTAAATGGAACACACTGTATATTAGGGTGTGCCAAAAAAACTCAAAATAGTTTTTTTCTTGCTCTCCACCCAAAATATCGTAGAATATGTCCGAACAAATATTCTGTTAAAAGCGGAGCTCATAATTTCAATTTTAAGAGGTCCCTCATCGAATCTGAAGTTTTGCCGCTTAAATAGCACAGAAAACTGACCTTTTTACCTTATTTATTCTTGCAACCTAGAAAGAAATTTTTTTTTCATAAAATCCATGACCAAATCTTACAAAGCATTAAACTTGGACGAAAAAATCTTATTAAGCCGAATTTCTATTTTCATTATTTGATTTTTTACCGAGCTTTACGTTTTTTGCCTTTTTCAGCTAAACTATTGAAGTTAGACGAAAAAGTCAAATGGCAATTTTTTAGCTTGTCTGATGGACCACAAAAAAGTTTTAGGCGAATTTTTTATATCGTCAATATTCTAAAAGTTACAGGCGTATAAAGTCATCATTTTTGAATTATTAACTTTAAATTTAAAGCTATGTAAAAAATAAATAATGAAAATAGAAATTCGGCTTAATAAGATTTTTTTGTCCAAATTTAATGCTTTGTAAGAATTAGTCATGGATTTTATGAAAAAAAAAATCTTCCTAGGTTGCAAGAATAAATAAGGTAAAAAAGTCAGTTTTCTGTGTTATTTAAGCGGCAAAACTTCAGATTCGATGAGGGACCTCTTAAAATTGAAATTATGAGCTCCGCTTTTAACAGAATATTTGTTCGGACATATTCTACGATATTTTGGGTGGAGAGCAAGAAAAAAACTATTTCGAGTTTTTTTGGCACACCCTACTGTATATATATATATACATATATTAGGTTGTGCAAAAAAAAACGATATTTTTTTGTTCACTCTTCGCTCAAAATATTATCTCACAAGCGCAGCTCGTAGTTACAACTTTAAGAGGTCCCTCATCGAATTTAAAATTTTCCTGTAAAATTTTGTAGTCCGATTGACGACAAAAAAATGTATTCAAATTTTTTTATTATTATTTATATTTAAGATGTTACAGACCCGCAAAGTCTTATTTTTAATTTTTAAATTTTATCAAGTGAAGTATTAATGATGGTATAAAAAATGTATTAAAAACTACATCACACTTGCTACAAAATTTTAAGGGCGAAAATTTTTGTATCATCAATAGCTCTAGGCCTATCAAGTCTAAAGCACTTAAAAAAACTTTTAACTATTAATGTATTCTGGTTGAACATTTTATTACTGAAAAAATAAGACTTTGCAGATGAGTAACTTCTTAAATATTAATAGTAAAAAAAAATTAAATTTGTTATAGTCGTCAAGCGGTTTGCCATTTAACTTTTCCAAAATTTTAGCTTAAAAATGTAAAACACGTAAAATATTCAAAAATTGAAATTTTAAAAGCTCTGCAGAAAGTCAAATATTAATGATAGAAATTTCACTCAACAAAATTTTTTGTCAAAAATTTAATGCTGAATAAGGTTAATTTATTTATTTTATAAAATAAATAAATAAATATATAATAAACAATTTTTCATAGCTTGCGGAATTAAATAATGTAAAACATCCTCTTTTCTGTGTTATTTCAACGGGAAATTTTTTAATTCGATGAGGGACCTCTTAAAGTTGAGACTACGGGCTGCTCTTGTGAGAGATTTTTTGTTTGGACATATTCTACCATATTTTGAGCGGAGAGTAAAAAAAAAAACAATATCGATTTTTTTTGGCAAACCCTAATATTAAATAGAAATATTTTATTAATATTATAATATAACAAATTAAATAAAAAATGTTTTTAACCAAGTACTCAATAATTTTATTAATCGTGCTTTACGTCATTGGGTTGTAATGTTTGGAGAAAGTGTTAATTGTGGGTCATACAATAAACTTTCTCTGTCTGAGTTAGTTGTTCGTGTTTCCTCACACAGTAAACATACTGACAAGTGTATATTATTGTAGTAAACATGAAGATAACCTTAGCGATTAGTTATTTTCTGGTTGTGTTGTTAAAGTTTTCTAATCAGCAATGTTTTTCATTAAATGATAAGGCTACTCCAAATAGAAAAAGTCATGCAGATTTGTATGCTGGACAACAGGAATTTTCTTTAACTCTTTTGAATGCAATTAATAAGTTTATGCCGAATGAAAATTTATTTTTTTCTCCATATTCTACATACCATGCATTACTTCTTACTTATTTTATGGCTGGAAAACAAACGGAAAATTATTTAAAAAAAGTTTTAAAATTGGATTTACATGAAAAAGAGGTAGGTGTTTTTTTAGTCATAGTTAATCAAAGATTAATCACAGTTGGTTTAAAAAAACCGGAAATTTTACAAGGTCGCCGCAAAAAATATTAATTCTAATTTTAATAAACATTTTGTTAATTTCAAGGAAATAAATATTGCATTATCAAAAAATAATTAAAGGCCATTAAAAAAGCATTAATACGAGAATTTGCCATAGCTGTATTAAGAATCTTATACTATTACACTGTGCAACACAAAAAATGAACTGGGATCAAATCTGAAAAAATCGAATCTAGGCAACCCCCAAAACAAATCCTTTAAGGGGTTTTACCAGTTTAGCTCGAATAATGGAGATATACATATATATATGTACAGGGTGTTTCTTTTAACTTGAGACAGCTCAATATCTCGAGAAATACGCATTTCACGAAAAAATGTCTTAAATAAAAGGTTAATGTGACTAAAGGGGACATTATTTGGTGCTACCGCTAGCCACCCCCTAACCTTCCTTAAGGGTGAAACGGGGGGTAACTTTGGAAAGTCAAATGGAATGACCCGATTTTTTTCACAGAGTTTGGTAGTACATAAAAAAATAAATAACTTTTATTTAAAACTTTTTTCAATTTATCAACAGATGGCGCTGTAATTCAAAATTTAAGAAAAATGAGTTTCCTTGTAAAATGTATTATTTGAAACGTTTGAAAAACAAAAATTAACATTAACAACAATAGTCGGCTATGAAAACAATTTATAACAAATGTTGATTTAATGTTAATTTTTGTTTTTCAAACGTTTCAAATAATACATTTTACAAGGAAACCCCTTTTTCTTAAATTTTGAATTACAGCGCCATCTGTTGATAAATTGAAAAAAACTTTCAAATAAAAGTTATTCATTTTTTTATGTACTACCAAACTCTGAAAAAAATCGGGTCATTCCATTTGACTTTCCAAAGTTACCCCCCGTTTCACCCTTAAGGAGGGGTAGGGGGTGGCTAGCGGTAGCACCAAATAATGTCCCCTTTGGTCACATTAACCTTTTATTTAAGACATTTTTCCGTGAAATGCGTATTTCTCGAGATATTGAGCTGTCTCAAGTTAAAAGAAACACCCTGTATATCTCCATTATTCGAGCTAAACTAGCAAAACCCCTTTAAAGATTAGTTTTGGGGGTTGCATAGATTCGATTTTTCCACATTTCATCCCAGTTCAAATTGTAAGGTCAAAATTTGTCGCACAGTGTTATTTATCTTAACGACGATTAATTGTAATAATTTTAATTATATTGTTGAATACATAAAAAATACTTTTATTTATTAAAAATCTTAGGTCACGTATATTTACAAATCGAAATATACGAGTTGTAGTAAAATTGCTGCAAGTAGTTTTAAAGAGCATCTAATTATCTACAAAAAACACCCATGTAAATTGTAGTAGGGAAAATGCCGCCAAGTTATAGGAAATAAAATATGCTTTTTACGGGTATTCATTGTTAATTATTTTATTACTTATAAGTAATAAAATAATTAACAATAAATACCTTATAATGCCTCACAACAGGTGATAAAATATTGTTGGCAATTTGGCCCTAAAATATAATGTTTATAAATATTCGTTTCTTTTACACATACTTTTGTTATACAAGTAGCAAATAGTTCAAGTCCCACGTTTCACGATTGGCTACGACGTATTCTAACGACAAAAGCCTCAATCGTAACTTACCAAATTGATGAAAGAAATGGAATTATTTGTAAATAGGGGTAAACGTGCATACGAATTTTTGAAAACCATTCCTCCAACTAGTGTGAAGTCCAAAAGATGTTGTTTGTTCGTTTATTTTAAATTATTTTAAATTACTAACTCGAGATTCCGGAATAAGTTAACTTGGTCCCTAAAGTCCTGAGATTGTAAAAATGCCACCCCTAGTAACAAGTAAACCACATCTGTAAACCATTTTAAATCAATTTTAAAAATCATTAAAATAAATTTTGGCGGTTTATTTAAAAATAATTTTCAATATATGTTCGTGATTGAGTAAGTAAGTATTACTTACTAAGTAACCTTCGATTTCTGGTGAGGTATGTTTTGTCACCTGGGTAGGTGGTACCCAGGAGTTCGTTCTTGAAAACAAATTAAATTATCCTAAAAACTATTGCAATTTTTTAATTTAATAGTACCTAAAGTAATAATATTAAACATACAATTTATAAATAAATATGATGTTACTAATATAATTATAATTCCCCTACATATCCCCTTTTTATACCTATAGCAAATATACTTTTATCTTTGCCTATAGGTTGGTTTTACATAACAATTATTTTTAAGTTAAACATTTGAGACTCCTGAGACTGAAAGTGACACGGACTGGAACAAACTACTTTTGCATTCGTTTTTTTAATGTCCTCCCCCTCACGTACGCGCCTTACCATTTTTGATTTTTAAATCTAAAATCAAAAATTACCTTCTCTTGAAAGCTTTTTGGAGCTTTGACCAGTACCTTTTAAATGACTTTTATGATTTATAATTTATTTTTTTTTGCTAATGTACTAGTTGAATTAAATATTTTTGTGTTGTATTTAAATTGTAAATTTTACTTGTAAATGCTTTGATTTCCCAGCATACACCTAATATATTGTTTGTTTTCTTGTTTGACATGTGTAAATACTCTTTTGTAATCTTTAGCACGAATAAACTTACTTACTTACTTAAGAAATCATTACAATTTCTTATAATTCTCTGTAAAGGAAAGTTTAAGTAGTAGTAGTTCATAAGAAAATAGATGTCTAGATCTAGTATTAAAAATAAAATGTATAAAAACGTAATCCTGTTATTGGGCCCTGGACCTGTTGGATACGAATAAATAAATAAATAAATAAATGATTATATTGAGGAACAGTAAATTTAACCCTTAAAAGCCCTGCGTTACATAAATGTAACGCAAATGTAACATAAATGAAACTAAGAATTTCATTTGAAACTACATACTAAAATATTACACCATTAACAATTTTGTACAAAAACACTACATCTCTCAAACGTCTCGAGTTAACCAGCGATAGTATATTCAGTTTTTTTCGTACTGCTAATCGTTCAAACATTTCTGGGTAATATTTAATATTTATGTAATTCACAAATTTGTTTTGTATTTTTTCGATTATATCGATGTAGACATTATACAAAGGATTCCAAATAATTAAGCCATAATTTAAGACGCTATTAACATAAAACATATATAATGTAGAAATGCTATTGAGCTCATAACATGAACGAAAAATAAAGCCTAACATTTTACTTGCTTTTTTTTTTAAATGTTCGATACATGCTGGTCAAACAACAGCCTGGAGTGATTCCCAAGTCCTTGATTGAGGAAACGGTAGTTAAACTAATATTTGACAGCATATTTGCAGATGGAACCAAGCTTTTATTACGAGTAAATGTTATGTGATAGCATTTCTGAAAATTTAAATAGAGACTATTATTTTACAATAGTAATATAAATTGTTTAAATCATGTTGAATATTGCGCACATCTTTGGCACAACTGACTGAATGGAATTTTTTTAAATCATCAGCATACATAAGAAATCTTAAAGTATTAAAGCAATTCTTTATATCATTAGTGTAAATATTAAATAACAAAGGGCCCAGATGTGAGCCCTGGGGAACCCCAGAAGTGACAGATACATTATTAGATTTTTCACCACGAATAGACACGGTTTGCGTTCTATTAGAAATGTAAGATCTAAAGCAGTTTAAGTAAGACCCTTCCATGTACACCGACTTTAGCTTCAGGCTAAGGCCATCAAGGAAGAAGAAGAAGGAGACTTCAGCTAACTTCCTTAACAAGATTGAGAAATCAATTTTATCAAAAACCTAAAGTTGGTGTAAATGACATCCACTTGTACGTTTTTATTCATTTTTTGAAGTAAATAGTAAATTTTATAAAAACCAATATTACAGTTGTTTGTGGTCGTAACATTTACATCTAAAGTATTGGATGCAATAAATGCTGAGCCAAAATATTCTGAAAATTTCCCACTAATGGTTTTATTATCTGTTATTATATTATTATTTTCTTGTATACTATAAGAAACTGATGATAAACTCCCAGAAGTATTTAGAGTCTTTTGTTATGTTATACTGAACGTTGTCTAGATATGTCTTATAGTCTTGTGAGATTAGAAATTTTTAACGACCACGCAGTAATTTAAAAGTTCAATAGTTGATATAATTGTTATTTTTTTCCATTTTTTATGATTCTTTGCTTTTTCTTTAATAACATAAATAGTACTTGGGAAATACCAAAATGGATATTTTTTATTATAATTTTTTTTAGTTACATGATTATTTATAACATTGTTAATTATTGTGTAAAATTGAGTTAATTATTGTGTAAAATTGTTCAGTATTTTTAAGTTTAAACAAGTTTTCCCAATCATATTCATCTTCATATTTCAGTATAAGTAGTTGGAATTTTTAAAATTTAACTGAGATGTGCAGTTATTGAACTGAATGTTATTTTTAAATTTCAAAATACTAACGTCAAATTCGAGAGTATTGTGAAACTTATCTTCCGGAACAAGGGGTGTTTCGGAAATTTTTATATTTTTAATATTATTAGAATTGCTTAAAAATAGATCTAAAGTATTATGTTAAAAATTGGTGTGACAATTATATTGACAAAAACCGGCAAATGATAAACTATCTATAGGGATACCTGAATTATTGTCTAAAAAATTTGTTGGCAAACAATATAAATTATAAGGATCAAAAATTCATTTAATGTTGGGCAGGTTAAAATCACCGCATACAATAAAAATATCATTAATGTTTTCTGTTATAATACTGTCAAGTTTAGAACAAAAAAGTTTAAAGCAGTGGCATTACCGTAGGGTACGTATACACACACATCCAATATGACACTTGATGATTATTTATCACAATTTTCACCCACAAATCTTCAGCAAAACTTTTGATGTTTTTATAAATAGCAATAAGTACACCCCCTCCTTCTACT